TTCCCTAACTTAAAAAAATATTTTATTAATTAGATGGTTTATTTTTTAATTAATTTTATCCATACACTAAGGTAAGTTTTTCATGTTAGAATAATTGACTTTTAGTTTAAAAAGTAAAAAAAGCAACTACTTTTGTATTTGAAAACTATTTTGTCATAAATTTTAACATAATCAATTTTAGAACGTATATTTTAAGTATTTACAATAGAAAGAACTATAAATAATTAAAGTCATAATAATTTTAAATTTATTCATGATTCTTATTCCACCTGGATTAATATAGCGTGCACCATAGCGAATCTTCGATTTATAATTAATGTAAAATAGGCACGTAACTGTCAATCCAAAATTAGGCCTTAATTACGTAGTCACCCATAAATTATTGATTAAAAGGAAACTGCGTCTCCAGCAGTGTATTCGTGCAATCGAAAGTGTAAGAGCTGCTCATTAATAATTAATGATGTATTGATCGATGTTCGAAATAGGCAGATTTATACTATCCGACACATAATCTCTCGAGAAATTAAACGTCTAGACACCTGATCGATTCGCAGTTTTTGCATTTCATAACATCAATATATCGACGATACAAAAATAAAATTTGTATAACTATCACTTAAAAATAAAACTTTTTATTTATATGCTATGATAAAACATAACGATACCATAAATAAAAATTAAAACACAAGTTATCTTAAAACATAACCTTTAAACCACAAAGTGTAAAACGTATTAAAATTAACACATGGATTTCACTTCTACTCGATATAAACTTGAAACTTACTTGTTTCATTTGAAAAACTTTTACTTAAACAGAAAGTAAACCATTAAATCAATGATGAATTTTAAAAACAAAATGATTTATGTATGAAATTTTATTTTTTATTAAGAACAAATCTATTTCGATAATAGTGATTTTATTAACGGTAAATAATATAATAACTAAACAATCTACTCCACAATAATAGTGTATTTGGTTTATATATATACATCCTATTTTTTAAAAGTGTGAAATAATTTCATCTATAAAAGTTGTTTGATTTGTTAAAAGAAAATTAATAAAATACTGGAATTCTTTGGTTTAATTACTATTTATGTGGATTTCAGTATTAATGTATTGACCATGAAATGTGCGCCTAATTACTTATATTTATAGTTTATAACCTTAACTCTAATTAAGAAAGAAGCAGAAAAGCAAGCAGTGTATAATTACGAATACACGATAACGAATAAGGATAATCCAAAAGAAAAATTTGATATCCTTTTCCCTTATATGGAATGAAATAACAGAATCGTATGTACATACATATATAAAAATCAATAATCAATAAAAAATAACATTATTTGACATTTTGTTTTAGGTCTGGATGAAATGGCCTGCGAAATTATAGTCTTTAATGTAGCGAATCTGATTGAAGTGTTACAAGCTGGTTTCTTGCAATTATTTTAAACAAGGTCATCATTTCTTTTATAATATCACTTGTTGAACTATTTTTCGCAAGAAACTTTTTAACAAATGACACGTACTTAATATAACAGTTAAAGATTTTAATTATTTCTATATATTTTGTTCGTTAAAAAAAATTTGTTGTGGTTTTATAACATACAATGAACTTTAAATAATTTATTAAAAAATAGTTCAGCGTATTCCGTATTCGTATCGCGGGCTGAAATAGAATTACGATCGGAAGTCGACAAGATATGGATTTCTGTTGGAATATAAAATAGAAGAATTTAAAAAATAAAAAGGTAAATTTTATAAAAAGATAAATTTGACCAAAAATATGTAATTATACGTAATTATACAAAGCATAAAGAGAATACAAATGGTATGAAAAAAGAACTATCTTTGTTCTCTATCAGTGTTGTTTAAAAGAATCGTAATGAATCTAAATGATCATTACATAACCTCAAGTATGATGTTAATCAATCAATCTTGGGTACTACTTAATTACTATTTGTTTGTAATCGATTTCTCTGAACTGAGTTGCCTTTATATCATGTTCAAATTATAATTAATAGATAAATATTTACAAGAAACACTTGAAACTTTCAAGTGCTTCTCAATATATCGCAAATATCGTATCATACGAAATTTTGTTGGATTATACAATTTAATGTCAAAAATGTATTAAATTGACATAAATGACAATATTGATCTATGAAAACCATATTTAATAGTCAAATGATTAACTGACAATAATTATTGGAACCTTGAATACAATAATTATTAGCGGCTAATCGTTGAGCATTTTTTTTTAAATTCTTTGTTTTTAATTATGTATTAACAAATATTGAAATGTAAATCGAAATAAAAAAAATAAATAGAATTATAACAAATAATAAAAACTGTTTATTGTTACCATATTTTTCATGTATAAAAATATAATTGCTAATATAAAAAATAAACGATTGAAAATGTCTATAGCTTTTATTAAACACGGTGTTATTAATACTTCTTGCGCGTATAGAATATTGCAGAAATGGTACATTTCCTTTGTTCTTAGAATTTCTAGAACAATCCATTCTCTATCTTAATGTAATTGAATGACAGCTCTGTAATCATAATTAATGTGCACATAAATTATTGTGACACTATTTCTTAATGTTGAGTTCTTTTACTTTATCATTTGAGAAACAATTTTTAGAATAATACTCGTGTTACTTCCTTTAAGTTTTAATGTTTGTAGAAGTCTCCAGATAAAAGTCAAAACATTGGAAGTTAATAATTGCAATTATTACTAAATTTTGTAATATATTCAAATACATTCGAATAATAAAAATGAACTGTTGTTGATGTTATATAATTCTAATGAATTTTGGAATTTTAAATTTTAGAAATATTATTAATATTTTATATATTAGAAATAGAATTTTAAATAATCAATCGAAGAAAACAGAATATCCATTAATAAATGTTAAAAATATTCAACCAATATTGAATTCATATTCTTTACAAATTATAAGTTTGTTAAAAAAAAAAAATTTTTAAATATTGCATATTTTTAATTAAATAAAAAAAGAAACGGTAACATTTATTTTTGGGCATTTTATTACACAGATATTGATACCGTTCTTTTTCTTTTCTTTTCAGGAATAAATAATTTTTTCCTCTTAATTTCGTCACTGGAAAATTGCACAACTCATTATAATATACATATATATGTATATGTATACTGAAAAGATATTCCCAGAAGACAGTGTAGATTCTTGGAAAAGAAGACTTCACGATCTTCTGTGATGTTTACCAGCAGCAGCAGAGATAAAATGCACGAAGCTGTTATTTATGAGGTTTATACATGATTCCATAATAACAATGTGAACGTAGCGCCTAACTGTCTCGTAGCATATCGCACTGGCTTCATTCCAACAGATAGGGCAAAATTCATTATTCTTCCAATTTTCAAATATAATCACCGGTAACAAAATTAGTGTAAATATTATATACAGCTTAACAACAAAAAATTAAATGACAAAATAGTAACTGTCATTGTTGTTAGATATTGTTAAATAATTAATAATTTCGTAATTGTTGTTCGAAAAATTTGAATTTATATATATGTAACATGAATATATTACACATTGCGCTATGTGCATTTTTACAAATTAAATATTTCGTTATTTTAAATTATTGATTATAAATAAAAATAATGTAAAATAGATGAATTATTACTTATTTCACCTTCCATATTACTAAATTATAAATATTGCAACATAAATAGAAGTAATTATATAAAAGGGATTAATATTACGATCTTACTATTTTATATTAAGTAGTGTAAAAGTAGCAATGTTTTACATAAAATAAATCCTAAAATAGAGTTACATATTTGTTCATTTTCGTGGCCACCGTTTTGATATTTCTATGGTATTATTTTTGTTGTAAGCGAAAGTAACTACAATTAAAACAAATTAGAATATAATTATGGTAAAAATAAAATAATCTTCAGTGAGATGTAAAGAAAGTTTCCAAAAAGTAAACTAACCTTTTCACAGCGTCTATAATCAAACAAGATCAAAGAAATGTAATAAAATAATAAAAAATGTAACATCGTAAAATGATAATAATTAAATTAATATTTAACATAATGCATATCTATTAATGATATTTAGATTCTTGAATATAACAATACTTTATGGATGAAGAAGGTAAAAAATGAGCAAAAATTGACGCCTTTTAAACATCCCTGGTGGGGATCGAACCCACGACCTTTGGATTAGAAGTCCAACGCGCTATCCTCTGCGCCACAGGGACTTGGTATGTTACTATTTTTATAATTGCATATTATAGGGAAATACGTTGTAACATAGATGTCGCTAATGTATGTAATAGTTATATTATACTAACCAGTAACGTATAAAAAAAGTGGATCTGTTATAATTTACAAATCTCACATTTAAAAAATTGATTGACATAATAAACAAATTTCCTAAAATATTAATTATATAACAAAAGTGTGATTATATTTTATATTCTTGTTTTGCAATTTTGTTTAGTATTTTACCTGTTCTATATTATATTAAGTTAGAATAATTAAATTTGCATACATTATTAAATAAATATATCAAAGGACACATCCATTTAAAATATAAATTTTTTATTTTAAATATATTAAATCGAAATAAACAATTCTGTGCTCATTAATAAATTTGAATTGAATTATTCCAAAATAATATTTATTATTTAATACTTCACATAAAATACGCAATATAACATAGAATTTTTAAACTTTTTATCATTACATCAATACATAATAATAATCATACAGCCCTGTGTTGCACCGTATGGTTACACACCAGTTCAGGCTACGGTCATGTATACGGATGATGTCTACCCTGTTCGTGATTGACATTTCATCTTATTCTTTTCTTTTAAGTGAACCATAATGGATTAAATAGTGATTATTTGTGTATATTCCCTGTTAGGCTGTCATTAAAAAAAAAAAAAAAAACAATAAATTGTGAGAAAAGAATTAATAAGATAATAGAATGCATAAAAGGTGAGAGAAGAGAAAAGCGTAGATGCACTGAACTTCATATGTGCATTTGGGTTTTCACTGTGTAATGCGACGACGAAAAGAAAGGGAGAAAAAAGGAAGAAAGAGATAGAATAAAACATTGGCTGAGCAAGAGGAAGGGGCTAAAAAAGATGGCCGTCCTGAAACATATGACAAAGAACGGCGGGCAACCGCCGCAGCTGAAAAGAATTTTCTCGGAATGTGTATTACGGTATCGTTGATCCTCGTCCTCGCATAGAGGTGTGGTGATTTTTCGAGTAAAGGGATCGTGGCTACAAAAGTCAGTGATCCTGTTAGCAAAGGAGCCATGACTACGTGTAAAGAATGGGCTCGATCGCATCGGTGTTGCAGTGGCATTGCTCGGAGTGCGCTCTGATAAATCCAACGGAGAGCACGCGATGCGCCAGGTGCGGCCTTACTCGGCTTAAGAGTGATGAAAAGGCAAACGTCAGGCTCAACCTGAGCTTGGAGCACAAAGTTCCAGGACGAAAAGAGGAGGGAAAGCAAAGAGACGACGAGGAAGGTGACACTTTCTCAGTCTCCGTTCCGCCGATACTTCCGCCAAAACTTCGTTTGGAGAAGCCAGCAGCGGACGATACGCGTCCAACAGCTTATGAATACGTCAAAACCGATCTCATACATCGGTGAGAAAATTGTTAACTCATCTCTCTCCGCAACCCCCTCCCCGACTCTCCCCCCCATTCTTCGATTTCTCGCGTGTTTGTACACAGTCTACCGAACTCCACAACCTTGTGGACTTCTCTTGAAATCTAATACTTAACATTCTATCAGTGCAATCATTTTGGTGTAATGTCTCGTTTTTCGAGAAAAATATTTTATAGTATGAGCTTTCCTCTACTTCTCACTGAACAAATTTAATTTGTGCCAAGGATTTCACACAATGCACAAAACAATGGTTTGTAAGGGGAATATAATACAAGTGTTTATTTGTTGCATGTTCGCATAAACGTAGATATGACAAGTACTATTGCATCTACGAATACAGGCTTTTCATTCCTTATTAATATAATTAGAGTAATAATAAAGTTAGCATATATTTTAATAGCATTTATTCTTTCTTTTTATACTTAGATAGTATCTGAGTATATAAGAAATAATTAAATACATAGATTCATTATAAAAATAGATGGTATATTCTTTAATTCTTTCCTCTTCCTTAATTTTATATGTAAACATTTGTCATATATTGCCTTTTCATTAGTTGTTATATTATCTCTTATATCAAATTTTAGCTCAGAGGGAAATTTAATTCTACCCAATAATCATATAAAGAAATCACATCATGATTCCTGGAATGGAAAATCGTATAAAAAAGAGCCAGTTAAACGATGTTCTTCTCTACCTTCCTTAGTAACACAATGGACTTGTGTTCGTTGTTTGTTAGACAACAGTTGCAGTTCTGGTATAATTTGCATAGCTTGTGATGCAAATTCTTCTACAGCTGAAACTGATAAAAGACAGATTGGAGCACGTAAGAGCAAAAAATTAAATTTACGTAAAACAAATCGTCTCAAAGCTGCATCTGAACTTCTGGCAAACATTTTGGATGGTTTTAATGCAACAAGTTCTTCTACAAATGATGCAAGAATTATTAATAAGGGTATACTACTCAATCAAACTAATAATAAACTAAGACAATTACTATGATTTATTACATAGTACTTTATTTATATTCTGCAGATATGGCACAACTAACGAGTATAAGTCGCAGTGAAAGGAGACAAGATAGAGAAGACTGGACCTTACCACCAATAGAAACTATGGAGTCTACTACACTTTCCTATACAAATACCACTGATACCTCTCAACGTTCACCAAAAAGACATAGTCCTTCAATTTATGAACGAGTCAAATCTAAAGTTAGTCGCTCTTTATCTAATGGATCTGTTGTACATAAGTTATCTGAACATGCAATTCAAAGACCAACAAGTTTAGTAGTCTCAGAATCGCAACAAGATGATGCTCTCTGGAGTTGCGATAATTGTACTCTTGATAATGCTCCTGGCCTAGAACAGTGTGAGGCATGTGAAGCTCCTAGAAGTCCAGCTCCTTGCAGTGGAGTAGTTATCAGTGTACCTGCTTGGGAACCTCGAGCTCTGTCTTCTGCAGGTCCACTGTCTTATAGAAGATCTTTTTCTGATGTTGAATCTGTTACAAGTGTATCTCAGAAAAAAATTGTTAATCGTAGAAGTCTTAATGAAGATGAACCACCTGCAGTACCACCACATTCTGTTGGTTTTAGTACAAGACCAAAGTATTCTTACATTGGTATTACTGATCCTGATATACCACCACCATTGCCAAAAAAGCAAAATAATAAATTAGGTCTTGTACCCACAAAAGCACATAGTGAAGCAACTAGTCCTATTGGAGATGTACCAAATGTAAGTTCATTAAAACGTATGTGGACTTGTCGAAAATGTTCTTACGCGTATAATCCTTTGTGGTCAACTGGCTGCGATATATGTAGATCTTCGCGATCACCGCCTTCGTTAATGCAACCTAGTTTAATAACTGTTACAAAAGATGAAACAAGTTGTTCATTGCATACACAATCTCCAATTGTAGTGTCAAGAGATAGTGTAAGATACATTCCACAAAAAACTGCTACATTGGCTACAGCAGAATCCGATTTAGATGATCAAGTTGATCCACCTTCCCCTGTGTGGACTTGTAAAAAATGTACATTATTAAATGCTGCTTCAAGAACAACGTGTGAGGCATGTGGTGGTTCAAAGCTTAAAAGTATTATGCATTTAGAAGATGCCACATTACGAAAAGGAGAAAGCTGGGTGTGTCCATCATGTACATTAAGGAATCCGCTATCAGCACAAACTTGTAATGCTTGTAAGACATTAGCAGATTTTCTAGATGTACCAAAAGATAGCAGATTTTTTGGATCAAGAAGTCCAAGTCCAAGACTTTGTTCGACTCCTATAAATTCAAAAGTTGTTACTCCAAGACACAGAAATTCTGTAAGAAGGAATGGCTCTTCAATTGGAGATAAAAGACATTCAAGAATTAAAGATTCCACTCATGGTCAAGTACGACTCTTTTATACCTATTTTATATATTCTTATTAATTACAATAAAATAAACATTATGCATTTATTATATATATAATGTATTTTAATTTTTCTAGTGGCAGTGTAAATTGTGCACGTATGAAAATAAGAGTACAAATGGAATCTGTGAAATGTGCCAAATTTCAAAAAATTTATCTCAACTACCAGGTGAAGGGCCTAGAATTATTGAATCTGGCATAAATACACTTACAATACAACGGCAAGAAAGTGTAGTTATGGAAAATTTAAGACAAATCGAGGAAAGAGAAGCATTGGAGAAATGGGAGCGTATTGTTCGCTATTGCAAAGAGGTATATTAATTGATAATTATGCAAGGGTGATCATATCTCTTTCTACAATTGGGAAAAGAAAAGACATACGATACAGTGAAATTGATTTATATGCAAATATATAAATTACATTTAAAAAATATAATTGTATCTTTCTTTTAACTTTATATACTTTTTTACTATTGATTTTTGTTATTCTGTTTGTATTAGTGTCTTATTTTTATATCATAACATTAATAAAAAGTAAAAAAGAAATTTGTATGAATATTTTTAATTTGTATTTGAAATCCAATATTTAATTTTTGTAAAATAAATATATCAGATACTAATCTTTTTAAGTATATATTATAATGTAAAAGAAACACTGTGTGACATATAAAATAATAGATATTCAAATCAGTGCATAATATTCATTTAAATAAATATTTTTCAATTAGTACTTTAAGTGTAAAATAAGTGTAAAGTTAAGTGTAATGAAAATAATAAAATAAAAATAATAATGAAAAAAAAAGTAAATAGATTATGATTAATGTAAAGAGATGCAACTCAGAAACTATTTAATTATGATAAAAACAATGTAGTTTTATTTCAGAAAAATATTGATGTATATGCAGACACAATTAAATTAGCAAAAACTAAATTTCCTAAAAAACAAAATAATTCTAGTATTAATTAATTTACTTATTTTATAGACAAATGAACCTTTTGTCGATGACTCATTTCCACCAGCTCCAAAATCTCTATATTATAATCCAGCTGAAACTAAAGACAACCATGTTGTTCAATGGAGAAGGCCTCATCAAATTAATGTTGATTCTACAGTTGATTCCAAACTGCCTTGGGCTGTTTTTAGAAAACCCCTACCTTCTGATATCTCACAAGGTGTATTAGGAAACTGTTGGTTACTTTCAGCTTTAGCTGTTTTAGCTGAAAGTGATGAGCTTGTAAAGAGAGTTTTAGTAATGAGAGAAACCTGCCCAGAAGGAGCTTATCAAGTAAGATTATGTAAAGATGGAAAATGGACCACAGTACTTGTTGATGACTTGTTACCCTGTGATAAAAGAGGCCATCTAGTATATTCTCAGGTTTATATCTTAAAAATATATCTAAAATATTGATATTTATTTAATACAAATGAAAAACTTTTTTCTATTTTTTCATACTTTTCATTAAATATGTTATAGGCAAAAAGAAAACAACTTTGGGTGCCATTAATTGAAAAAGCAGTAGCTAAAATTCATGGTTGCTATGAAGCTTTAGTATCTGGACGTGCAATAGAAGGTCTAGCAACACTTACAGGTGCCCCTTGTGAGAGTGTGCCTTTACAACCATCTGCTTTGCCAAGTGAAGATGAACTTGATAAGGATTTAATATGGGCGCAACTATTATCTTCAAGGCAAGCTATGTTCTTAATGGGTGCTAGTTGTGGTGGTGGTAATATGAAAGTTGATGAAGAAGAATATCAACGTAAGGGTTTGAGACCAAGGTAACAGAAATTCAACAAATGTTAAATTAAAGATAAATACTTTAAATTACCTGGTAGGGAATACGATTATTGAGATTACGTAATCCATGGGGTCACTATAGTTGGAAGGGTGATTGGTCTGATGACAGCCCTATCTGGACACCACAATTACGAGAAATGCTTATGCCACATGGTGCTTCTGATGGTGTTTTCTGGATTTCTTTTGATGATGTATTGAAATATTTTGATTGTATTGATATTTGTAAAACTAGAGTTGGATGGAGTGAAGTTAGATTACGTGGAACACTTCCACCTTTATCATCTCTCAGACATTTATCATGTGTACTTTTAACGGTATTAGAACCTACTGAAACAGAATTTACATTATTTCAAGAAGGGCAAAGGTGAATTCTATTATCTTATTTTGTTATTTAATACGTTTGTGCAATTGTATTAAATTAACAAATCTAAGATTATAATATGTTATGTTTACACATACAGGAATTCCGAAAAATCACAACGTTCTCAATTGGACTTGTGTGTTGTTGTTTTTCGTACACGTTCACCAGCAGCACCAGAAGTGGGAAGATTAGTAGAACATAGTAAACGACAAGTGCGTGGATTTGTTGGATGTCACAAAATGCTAGAAAGGGATTTATATATTGTTGTATGTTTGGCCTTTAATCATTGGCATACAGGCATGGAAGATACTTCCAGTTACCCTGAATATGTTCTTGCCATACATAGTTCAAAGAGACTTTTAGTTGAACAAATTTCTCCACCAGCATTTGTCTTAGCTGATGCTATAATAAGTTTAACTTTAGCAAAAGGACAGCGACATGAAGTAATAATACCTGTATAACTTACATATTTCTTTCCAAATATGTTTTCAGTAAAGTATTTTACGAAATATATTTGTGCATAGGGAAGAGAGGGAATGACTGCTTACTACTTAACTAAAGGTTGGGCTGGACTTGTAGTAATGGTAGAAAATCGTCATGTAAATAAGTGGATTCATGTAAAATGTGACTGCCATGAAAGCTATAATGTTGTGTCCACAAGAGGACAACTCAGAACTGCCGATAGTGTTCCCCCGCTTCACAGGTAAAACAGGTTATTTATTAATCCTTTTGTTATCAATATTTATAGCAGTTAATTTGATAAATTTATTATAGACAAGTCATCATAGTTTTAACACAATTGGAAGGTAGTGGAGGTTTCTCGATAGCACATCGACTTACGCACAGACTAGCTAACAGTGGAAACTTGCATGATTGGGGTCCGCCAGATACTCAACATTGTCCTCAAATTGATACTCAAGTCGAAGGTTTACATAGTCCTCGTTTAATCACGTGAACAAATGAGTGATTTATAACAAATAGGACAATGTTTAAATGTATCTCGTTTGTCAAGTAAGAGATTTATTATATACTCGTGATATCCAGAAATTTACTAAAACCAAAGCAAGCTAGAAAGATTTTGGTACAGGAGAAATAGTACTGAAACCATAACACATTTTGTGCTTTCTAGCTATTCATGTTGTACGAAAATTTTTAGCATTACAACAAGCTCACTATTGGATATAATACAATAATTAACAATTAATATACAATGATTCTGCAATCAGTGGTTAGAAATAATTTTTTTTAATTAGGTAGAAATCATTCGTTATACCAATGAAAATGAATATACTTTAAAACTTGTGTGCAAATTAAGCATTTCTACGGGAACCATTGATCCATAAAGAAGACTTAAGGGAAATTTAATATTTATGGAAGAACAAATTAAACACATTGCTTGTTATATAAAAAAAATTATTTTCTCAACGTAACATATAAGCACCATAAAAAGTAACAAAAGCGTAAAGGTTATACAGTAATAATATATAAAATGAAATAAGTAACAGCCATTGATAATGTATGAAAAACATATACACTCTTTTTGGAATTGCTTAGAGTATGGTATAACTATGGATCGAAATTTTTTCAATTTTTGCATCTCACAAGTCGATCCTATTTTCAAATATACAGGCCATTTTCAAAACTCGCATTTAAAAAAGAATATGTATCGTATATTGTTCGTGGAAACAAATGTTACTGATCATTTAAGTGAGAGTATTTGAATATTGGTCGCATTGTAGAACTTCTATCTCATCTGAACTTTTGTTGTTTCCATCTTGTAACTGGATGGAGTGCTTGTGCTAAAAATGGACGTAGCGCATAGCTACAGAACCAAAAATCTCTCTTGAAAGTTTTACAGTATAGTGACGCGTTCACTGCCATTCTGTGCAATGTACATTTAACTTCATTGTTGTTAAACATTTTTGTAGTGAATTATTAGCAAGATTATTATCACTAATTGTTATATGTATTTTATGTTCAGTTAACTTATAATACATATCTTAAACTTACACAAGCGTGGCAGTTAACGAGTTAGTCAGTTTTATAAGTCTTGTACATTTTATAATCATGACATCGGAACAGCCATATATGCGGCAATCATTTATAAATTTTTTTTATACATATAGATTTGTGTTTTATTTTTATACATATATGTGTGTGTTTTATTTATAAAATATATAGTCAACGAATAATGAAATATATGAATAATTTTTTCTAATTTAAAAAGTCATATTTATCGAATTATGATATTATGTAAAAGAATGAGTTGTAAAAAAAGAAGTTATAATTTAATATTACATTCCCTTTTCTAAACAGAGAAATTGCTAAACAACTAATGAATGTATGTTATATATACTTTTTTTTATTGGCATGAAATGATTTAAAAAATTGTTATTAAAATTATTATATTGGCATTTCCAAATTTTATATAAAAAATAAAATTATCAGTTTTGATTATTATTAATGCTGTTCCAACTAGTAATTTTAAATATATTTATTCTATGTATCAAATGCGATGTATGTCGGCTTTTAAATCCTTTTTTTATATGTATTACACAAAGCGTTAATAAAAATCGAGAACATTTTTTTTCTAATATTAATTGTATGCGTGAAAACAGTGAAAAAGTTTGTATAATCTTGTATCTAGAGCTGTTGAGTACCCGAAATATTCAAATATTCGAAATTTAAATTGAACAACGTTCGTCTTGTCGCTCAATTCGAATATTCGATTAATCGAGTACTTCGAGTAGCTCGAAAAAATTCACATTTATTATTTGGATCTGAGTTGTTTAAATATTAAAATTGTGTAAATTATTTAAACAAATGTAATTTTTTCAAACTATTTAAATCTATTGAAGTAAATCGAATTTTCTTGAACTACTCGAATAACCAAATCGATTTCAATATATATCTTCTGAGTATTTGAATAACTTTTTCTGTATTTATGAGTTACACACTCGCAGATTTGAACAGTATTCATACATTATGTTGTGAAGAATTTTTAATTTTTTTTTTTAACATATGCATATGTAGCATCCATATTTATTTATTTTAATTAATGTATTAATTTAAAAAATGTATCTAATATTTATTAATATTCTCTATAAAGTATAATTAAAAAGTTAAACACTTGCAGATACAAGTTTATATGAATTTTCTTTCATATTTATTTGTATGAAAGTTAAAAAATATTCTTGATCTTTACCGATATACTGTGTATTATATAAATCAGCAAACATCCAGTTTTATATGGAAAACTCTGTGCTTTGGCTTCGATATTAAACTGCCATGTTCCATGTTCTCAGATATTGATGAAATTTGGCACTGAAATGTTCTTTTAATGGCAGTTGGATCTGATTGAAAATTTATCTAATACTTTCTATATACATTAAATGTGGTGATATGACAATATCTAATGCTGTGATCAGCTAATGACGTCTTTTGTCATTAAAATGTCAGTTAAGATATGTCCTGATAAATGAAAAGGCAACACATAAATATTATTTCAATGATAGTACAAAATATCTATTTATTATAGATACATTTGTGTAATTCAAATGCAAAAGAGAAACAAATTGTGCACATAAGCATTATGAGACTTATTGGCAATAGTTTTCTTAATTAAACATTATATATATTTTTTTAAATAAAACATTCCTTACAATTACTTATATTTTCCAATTATTCATTCAAAAGAAAAACTCTGTATTTTTATGCTCTGTATATTCTGGTTCTAATATGCTCAATTCCTATTGTTATAAAACTTAAGTTTAAATATTGCTGGTATAAGTTCCATTTAAAGGATTGCTTTCTATATGAAACAATAAAAGGAGATTGTTTTTATTCAATGACTTCAAATGAACGGATCTAACTGTTAAATGTGGCCTAATAATTTTAAGAATAATTTTTTATTTATTGCATACAAAAGTACTAAAATCTTATTCATGCACTTTATGATAATTTTAAGGCAATCAGTTATTAAAGTGGAATCTTTAAAATAACGAAAATGCGTTTATATTAACATAAATCAATTTTTCTAAGTTTAGACAATATTTAAAATTTATCTAAATTTTAAATATTATGAAAGGAATTAACTATTCAAATATTTATTCTTATAGTTATACTTATATTAATAGTATCTATTTTCTTTCTGCAAAATATACTTGCAATAGTTTTTATATAAGATGGCCTTAATTTAGAGACAAAAGTATTTAGTATAAAATAAAAATTTCTTATACTTGTGCATTTTCTTAAAGAATATCAAAATGGTAGTATATACTTTTTATTCTTATAATAATTTTAATTTGAATCAACAGATTCGACTGCTATATTCCAAAAGATAATTTGAATCATCAATTAAATTGCATCATTGTTTAGATATTTAGAATAAGTCTCATTGATGCATATATACAAATGCAGGAACAACAATGCTAAAGAAAATCATGCAATTAAATATAACATCAGATTCCTCTCCTTTTATTTCTTTCTTTTTGGTCTTTTGTATTGAAATCATAACTTGCATCTGCATAACATTGAATTAAAAGAATTTAAAATAATCCTTAGTGCCATACCAAAGCGTAATAAAAAAAAACCTGTAAACGGATATTTAATCAACACTGTTTTTATAGAGGCCCATTCCGTTATCACAATGATATTATAGTACTTTTTTTCAAAGAAAAAATATTCTATTTTAAATATTGTATAATTACTGAAAAAATTATACTATAAATAATATTTCCATTTTAGAATATAACACCTGTGGCTCCGACGGTACTATCAGAATAATGTATATAACATAAATATTTAATGTTTGGATTTCAATTGTTAAAACTTTAAAAAAGTTTTGGAAGCACAAAGTAACATCATTATTCTGAAAGCAGCGTTCGTAGTTGATTATGCACAACGCTACGGCGAACGAACAAGTGTGTTTGGTATTTTAGAAAACTGTCTTTGTGGATTTGAGCGTTTAAAAAAAAATTCAATTTGTACATAAAATGAATTATTTATTATATTAAGGGATGGGTGAAGCTGATTAAGTTATACACCGCTTGTGGTACACGTAAGTTATTTTGCATATGCTTACACATTTTTGTTAAAACAATGCTTAAGCCGACTAAAAGATAAGAAATAGAAAATTACACATAGCAGAATTAGTAATATATTGGGATAAAAGAAATACCGGTGATGTGCGAAGGATAAATATTTATTTTATTTGCAATGGCATGGAGCTTTCAAAAATTCAAGGCGATTTATTAAATTTGTAAAGTTTTATGAATCACGATACCATTAAAAAATTAAATGTTACATTATAAGTCAATGAATATAATTTTTTGATCTTTTGTAAATTATCAAATATTATTTATCGTTTGTTTTAGCACAGTGTTAGTAATATTTATATAAATTGAGCAAAAAGTGTAGGGTAATCGCACGCCATCGCAAAGTACCTAGGAATATATTCTTAATATGCAAAGAAAATTAAAAAAAACTACGGTATCTCATTGTATTTGTAATTACAGAGTATAATATTGCGGTGTCATTTTACAATTATTAAGTAACTCGTACTCTGTACGATATTGCGTACCGGGTGTATTCTAAACTGTATACAAGCGTTAAATGTGATTTTAATTTTTTTTTCTTTTTTCATTTTAAATGAGACTGAAATATTTACACGTTCAAGAAAAATATTAATGCAAACAATATCTAAAACTACTAAATTATTAAAGGTAAAAAAGTTAAGTAATTCCTGAAAATATTAAAAACAAAATTTATTGGTAGAAAAAAAAACTGTTTTTAGAGGTGTTCTTTTAGTCTACGCGACTGTGATCATTTTAGAAACGCCCATGTACGATCTCGAACCAGCAATCAACTTTGTGATAGTCTGTGTACCGATTTGGCAAACTTTGTTGAATTGATCCCATTTCCTATAGATGGAATGTATAATTATTAGAACATTGTCGCGTACATACAAAGAAGACATTTACTACTTTATGAAATGATAAAGACATTGTATTGTCCCCTGATTTATATAATATAATAGTGTAGGTACATTTAATAATAAATCGAAATATTACCTAGAAATTATTTGTTATTCAAGTTCTTAAGTCAAATTGCATAGTGGTTCAAATGATCTTCCAAGCTCTTTTGTATCCACTTTTATTATTTAATATTCTGTTGAATTTAATCTAGAAGTTTCTTTATTTAATCTGTATTTTTGAACCATTAGTTAACATATGATATTTGAAATATATGAATGTTATAATACGTACGTATACGTATATTGTGTTCGCATATTTAAATTTCATTTTCAACTAAAATTTTAGTTAAAAAGCCTTGAAGTAACTAATTTTAAATATATATACATGTATGAATGCGTATAACTATTGTATTTCGATGAAACTTTTAGTATAAAAATGTATGTATAGTACACTTGCAGGTTACATGACTCAAATTTAAATCACACAACTTTACGTTATAGATGGCGCTCATCAAACAACTACTTTAGTGTGATTGAGGCAACTTAACGTATACATGAAAAATTAATATTTAAAAAATAGGACATTGTATGTGACGTTTTCTTATATTATTATTTATTACATGTTAAATCATGTCGACATTTACTTTTGGGACACCTGTAACCTCAAGTAATACAAGTTTTGGATTTGGGCAAAAGTAATTACGTCGTTTTACGTTTTTTAGCAAATTTTATATTATGAATATTATGAAATTAAAACGTAGATTTTTGGATTTAAAATTTAAATTGAGTTTGTGTTTATAAATATACTGAAATATTGATAATTCATTATGTTCTAGACCTGCAACAGGTTTTAACTTAACTAGTGCACCTTTTGGTTCAAGTAATCCAGCATCAACATTAGCTTTTGGAACTTCTTCAATACCTGCAACAACTACTGGACTTAGTTTTGGATTCAATACTACACCTGCAACTTCTGCACAAACACAATCAAGCGGTTTACTTTTAGGATCAAATACAACTAGTACAACAACTGCAAGCAGTTTATTTCCAGCCCCAACTACTTCTGCACCATTATTTGGTGGTCTTACTTTTGGTACACCAGTCTCAAGTACTGCATTAACATTTGGCACTCCAGCTGCTACAGCTACAACTGGAAATATTACTTTTGGTACACCTACTACTACAACAAGTATGCAATAGTTATAAATAATTTAATATCATTTATACAATTAAAATATATACATCTATCTAATGCTTTGTATTTATAGCATCGCTTTTTGGTAGTAGTAATTTATTAGGATCAAAATTAGTTACTGGTACTACTACAACTACTACAAGTACAACAAATAAAGGACTAGGAGGACTAGATGTGTATTCAAGCAATAAAGGACTTTCACAGGGAAATATTAATCCTGCAGCTGTTAAAGAAAATATTTGGCCACCGGAATTATTACAGACAGTAGAGAAATTCAAGTAATTGTTATATAGTAATCATATTATATTGAAACTATGTAAGATTAATTAATTTGACATATGATTTCACTTACAGAGAGTTTGTAAAAGAGCAAAAAGTATTGTCTTCAGACATAGCAAGAGGGTCTGCAAGACCATTGAATCGATGTGCCGAAGATACAGCATCATTGATGGAACTTCTAACAACATTAGCTGGGTCTGTTCAACGAGATCGTTCAGCTGCTGATAAATTAAAACAAGATACAGCAAAAGCATTACAGAATGCTGAAATAGCTCAAAGAACACACGATACTCCAGCAGGATTACAATATGAAAATAATGCACCATTATTATTTTTTATGGAATTGGCTGATAACTTTGAACATGATTTAATGTTATTTAGATCTCAAATTGAAACAACAGAAAAACATATACAAACAATGATGACTCCAAAAACATTAACACCTCAAGGTAATTTTGTATTAATATTAATATTTATTAAAATTTATAGTTTATTAAAAGTTTACTGTGTGTTGCAATTGGTTTTTAGAATTGTCAATGGCTATGAGTAAACTTCATGAATCTCTCGTAGCTGTTGCTGGTAAATTACAAGGTGTACATTCAAAAGTACAACAACAAAAGGAACAGTACTTAAACTTCAGAAAATATGTTTTAAAAGATAATACAAATGTTTTTGAAGATATTAAAGTAGATGGAAAAACATCTCGAAATAGTATTGGAAAAATTACGAGTGGCCCTACTCCATTTAGTCCAGGTAATTGATTATTGAAAAACGATTTTTAATAATATTTATTTTATTTCATATAACTATTATTTAATATGTTATATAATTTATTTTTATAGGAAATAAAAGTTTTCTTTCAACAGCATTAAGTTCTAATAGACCAGGAAATTATGAAACACGAAATTCATTAGGTAAATGAAATTGTCATACAAATTCATTATGTTAATATATTTTTTGTTGAAAACAAAATCCCTAAAACAACGTATTTTCGTTGTTTCAACTACCCCATAAATATCTCCTACCTTCAGGTCTTGCGTGGATTTAGTATGAGGTAGATTTACTAACATATAACGCCCTTTACTAAATACTGTAGATTTCACATAATATATCAATAGTGAGATTGTTGCAACTACTTATTTTGTAAATATGATCGATTTACAATTTTTATTTCTGTAATTTGATTTTGATTTTACCTTTCCAGGAAAAGAGTTAAGGGATCTATTTTAGTTTATGAGGTACTAAATTTTTCTTCAGTTTCTGTTTGTGTTACCAAATGTGGAAAGGGATCATAGCTTCTGTATTTAACACATACTAATTACGTATGAAAATATTTTTTTTTTTCATTATAACAATAACCATTAATATTATTTTTCTTTATTTCTTTCATTTGCATTATAAAGTAGCAAACGATAATGGAAAATTGGAATCTGTGCCTAAGGGATGGCTGTGTATTTTATATGTACTTCAATTGCTTCTGCTTCTTGGTGGTTTTGTAAGAATGCTTGTGCCAACTAAAATGTATATTTATCAAGATACATAATATTATAGGAATATCATTGAATATTAATTGTATTAAAACAAAATATTTTTTAACTTCATAATGATGACAATGTTGCTAATATGTTACTTTACAATGACATTTTATTGTATTAAAGTTTATGTAGCTTTAGCTATTTTACATGCAAATTAATTTAACTCTTAAAAAACAGATTCAAAATAATTCAGTATATATGTTGTTACAGTTTGGGGAAATACAATACCAATTCCATCTGCTACTAACATTACTCTAAGTTCGTCATTGAAACCACCAACTGCAAGTTTGACCTTTAATACTGCATCAAATCTTACTGCACCTTTACCAACGAGTGAATCGAATTCAAGTTTCCAACTTCAAAAACCTCCTATTGGTAATAAAAGAGGAAAATATTAAATCGTGTTTATATTTATTTTTGCATTGTTGAATATGCTTAACATGTGCTTACAAACAACCTATCTTAGTTTTTAGTATATAATATAATATTAATACTTAGGTTCAATATTATTATTTTTTTAATATCAAGATATACGTATTCCATTTTTCTTTTTTTTCTTTATAAAAATGATTTACAAGACAATAAATTATTGTTCAATTTGTATATTTTTATAATTATAAATATTTCGTATATGCAGTGATATTTAACTATATTTAAAAATATATAATTATTTCTTTAATTTTATATATTTCTTTATTTTTTTAATTAAATATTACTACAGAATATATTATTTTTTATAGAATATTATAATACTCTCCTGAATTCATAAAAAGGGTTTTAAAAATTAATACTACAAACAGAACTAGTAAAATTAAATAGGCTACTTTACACTTTGAATAAAAAAGTTAATTAACGTCTAAATAATTTATATTTATTTATATCTGTAGTTCTTTAATTCAGTACAAATTTGAAAAATTGTTTTACTTAAAATCATTTACTATAATTTAAATTTTAGCTGTAGATTTATTAAATAAAATAATATTTCCAAACTACTCATAAAGTATTATGAAATAATATTTATAAAATAATAAGGAAATCGTACATATATAATATTTATGAATAAGATATTTGAACAGAATTATTTAGAAATATTTATTATTATTTTTTTATCAACCTCCCTTTGTTTAATACTGTATTCTGTAAGTTTGATGTGCTTAGACACATTCTATATATTGATAGTATAGTATAAAGTACACTAATTGAAAATTTTTACTGATACTTATTATTGATGAGGATAACGTGATGATATATAGGAAATTTATTATTTTAATATGTTGAGAGCTATATATATTTGTATATAAAAACATCAATTTTTTATTGAAATTATTTATGTTATAAAATACAATTAATATGATATAAAAATTATTGTTTTTGTATATCTTCTATTTTCAATTTTGTCTATTTATATAGCTTAGAACTTTTTTATTTGTTTGAAATATATAGGGTGGGCCATCTAAATAAAGCCACCTAAATAGCTCTTCTAATTGTGGGAATATTAAAAATATTTTGCACTACGGGAACCTGCACAAATTTCGCTACGCCGTCTTCATCTGTAAAGTCTCGATTAGAGCAAAAGTTTTCACTTTCCCTATTTTTCAAACTCAAAAGTCATTTCAAGATCGTGTAATGTACATATCCGAACGTATTTTTATCTAAGCTATAAGATGTAATAAAAAAAATTATACAATTATACATAAAGGACATCGATAACCTGGTAAATTTCGAAAAAAAATTTGTTTGCAACATTGATTTTTTTTAAACCATTCAAATAGCACAAATATTTTTTGTGCCCCATAATTGAAGCAGATATTTAGGTGAATTACCCTTTATTATGAAAATGACATTAAATTCAACATAAAGCAACATTAAAGTGTTTACAATACATGTAAAATATATTTAATTGTTCACAAATGTTGAGAAAATATTTTAATTAATTGTTAAATAGCACCAACTTGTATGATGGGAATCAACAATGTAAAGGCATCTTGAATGTAAGAACTTGCACTTGAAGCCTATTTAGAGAATGACAATTAATTTCTTGATATGCACACACTATATATGTAATATATAGTATTGTCTTACCTCCATAAAAATTGTTGTTATATTAGCATTAATAGTATCACATCTATCTGAAGTTTCAACAAGTTTATTCAAAACACTACAGTAAGTATTAGATAATACTCCAACTTGATTAGACAGAATATTTGTTAACTGAACTAATGAATCAGCTTCATTAACAGTGCTTCGATGTTCTTTAATTAGAAGTAATTCTGCAGTTTTATGAAATCTTTCCATAGAAAATGCTGTAAATTCTGCCAATACAGAAATAGCATGCTCAAATATTTCTTGATCATTGTGTGTCGTTGATGAAGTAATATAGCTATTAGACTCTTCACAAATCTAAAATCAATATTTAATTTCATATAATATATTCAACATATAAGTAATACAAAATTTACTTACAGTATGTAATTTTTCATATGTAATAATAACTCCAAGATCATTGCAAGCTTGTTGCAATTTACATTTCAAATCTTTCTCAGATGTTTCATCATCATTTTCATCATCTTCATTCAATTCACATAATTCTTCAACTTCTTCCAACATCTTTTGTACAGAATTTAATTCATTTGTATCTAATCCAATCAAATATTGTTGTATTTTAATACTACTTTGTTTTGATAACATTTCTAATGCTTCTATATGAACAAGTCCTTGATAATCGTCAAAAAGACTTTCGAAGTGTACTTTCCTTAGTTTTTGTTTCTCTTCGATTGTTCTTTCTATAGTTTCTGCTTTTTGTTTAGCTTCTCGAAGAATCTGAGATAAATTTGGTTTGCCTGTTTCATTTATAAAGAAAGCTCTTTTTTTCTTTAACCCTGGATCACCATCTTGCAAAACTTCCATTGTTTTTTTACCAATAGCTTCTAGTGTATCTAATCCACCAGTCATAACTTTACTTCCAGTTGATTCAACTAGTTTTGTTATTGACGATACACTTGATATAAGATTTCCAAATCCAAAAGAAGTTTGTTCCTTGGATTCCTCATTTTTATCATCTGGAAATTAAGTTAACTAAAATAAAAATATAATAATTTCATAATTTGGAAGTAACTGAAAATATTTTTAAATATATTGATCCTATGTCATTAATAAATATAGATTGCATATAATTAAAAATAATAGAAAAATTATAAAATGGTATAATACCAGTAACTGTATGATTTTCTTCTTCATTTGTAATACATTTTGTTTCATCAGATATAGCCATAGATTCTTCTAAAAGCGTGAGTCCTTGTGATACATGATTAGTTAATGTAGAAACTCCAGCAGTAGCTGTATTAATTAACGTACTCATACCCCAATTTGCCCAACCCCAACTCGAGGAAGAATTATCTGTTTCATCACCAGCTAATGACAATCTTTTTAATACTGGCTGCAATTTCTCCTCGGTTAGTTCCTCTGATAATTGAATTGCATCTTCCAATCCTTCCCAACCTTCAGGTTTAAATATTTCTTTGAATGTTTTATCAGATTTCATTTCTTCGGGCATTTCTGACTCTGTTATCTCATCTTTTATAGAAGGTATATTGAACATAAAATTTTCTTCTTTCATCGATATATTCTCTTCATTAATATGTGTATCTATGTTATCTATATCAGCTGTAAGACCGCTAGTTGGCATAACCTTAATTCCTAACTTCTTTGCATCTAACTTCTGTCCTTTATCATTCTTTCCTGTCTCATTAGATTCAGATAGTGTTTTAGAATGTAGCTTCATATTAACATCTTTCTCAGACATTTCTACCTCATTTTTATCTAACTTTGTTTCTTCATTATTATTCTTGACTTTCAAATTTATAGTATCACTGTTTTTCTGATCACACTCCACTTCTTGTGCATTGAGAGTTGTAACATTTCCATTATCTTTCTCACAAATTTTGTCAACATTGATAATTGGTTGCTCAGTCTGCTTATAATTACATGTATCATTAATACTGATACGTTTATCAGGCCTTTTTTCGTCACTTGTCGTATATATCGTCGGGTAATAATTTTCTTTTTTTCTACCGTAAATTATATTTGTATATGGTTGTCGTGGTACATATTCTGTATCATCATCAGATTCTGAATCTATCGTAGTTGGTGATTTCCACTGCTGTGTTTGAATACTTCTTTTTATTGGCACATCAATATTCATCTCTTCATCAGCACTTTCAAAATCATCGCTTTCAGATGTTGCCATATTAACTTTGTGTAATACTAAATTTTCAACCAAATGTAACTTGCAAAAACTTTAAATTTCGGTACAATCAATTTACGTTACAATCATACGTTCAGTCTTTGCTTAACGCTTATAAAATATGGGTTAAAAAGATTTCCTCATTTAGAGAACACTGTCCATACGTTTTCATACCTACACTGCACATATAAATATATACATATACACAATTATACACTTGTCACGTGTCTCACCAAGTAGGTAACAATTCACACACTTTATAAAATTCGTACCAAGTTTGTAGATTAAAAAATCAAGTACACATGCAAAAGATAGTTTGCACCCGTTAAATTTTGATACATTTTTTAATTTGGTTTAATTTTAATTTTGTCAATAAAGTAAGCTGAAATATAAATTATAAATAATAGATATGGATTTTTACAAATCAACTATATTTTGAAATAAAATTAAATATTCATTCCTAAATCGAAAAAAAGCAAAGAAAATTATGTCGAAATATACGTCCACATTGGTGAAAAGTATGTTCATTCTTCAAATAATGAAAAAAAGAAAACGATGTAAAAAGTTCGATATAAAAAATGTTTAATATTCGTATTAATTATTATTACAAATAATGCGTGCAAATCAAGTTAATTTTGAGCAAAATAATACGATTGAAGAACGATAAACGATGTAAGTAGGAAAGTAAATTGTTCGATCAAATTTTGATAATATTTAGAAGCTAAACAACGAAAAAAAGAAAGAGGAAGCAATACACGCGAATACCACAGCGGCTTATGAGACATTCTCGAAGGGGCGCCGACGGATTACCATCAGTTTACTCATTCGTCCCGGATGTTCAACGGTCTTGAGTGCACCTGCGTTTAGAAGTTGTATGGTGGTGCCGCCAATGCAATATAACGGAAAATATGCGAAACTATCGAAAGGGCATCGCGTTCGTCTGTTCCCGTCGTCGTTCGTGCACAGCGGTCAGAGACACGAGAGCTTTCGGTCTGTGGAGGGGGCAATTCGAAAGAAAGAGAGAGGAAGAAAGAGAATACAAAGCTGGGAGGGGATTACATTCGGTTCTCATCGGTGTACGCGTTGAGGCAAAGAGGAAGAGAGAGTGAGTGAGAAGCATTGCCAAGCGCACACGGTATGAACGTCCAGTGGCATGTTTCAAACACTCAACATGCTTGTAGTTGGCGCGAGGTTGTAGTATCGTCGAAACGAAAGAGTAGTTTGCGCGTATTCTTGGCACTTGAAACAACGGACTTGACAGAGTGTACAATTCTTGCGAAGCCATGTTCAATTCGATCCATGAACGAGCAAAAGTGTCTTGCGGTAACCGTAACAGTGTCCTGCCGTGTAAGTAAAAACGGAGTGAAATAACGTGCGGGGGAACGCAAGGCGAATTCTGACATTCCTTCAAGGAAACGTCGCATTGATTCGCGCTGCCTTTTGCACACGACGAGCGCAAAGTTTAGTGCAAGAAGGAAAAGGGAGCACGGTGAAATGTACTCGATAGTACCGGCATTAACGTGCACTTCTTAAAGCGGGTCGCAGACGCAGATGCTGTCCCGTCTCTGCTCTGAGAAACTCGTCGTCGTTCCTGTTGCTCGAAAAGGAGAACGACGTGATTGGTACGCGTCAGAACAATTTATCAATTTTCTTCCAAAAATTAATCAATGAAATGTGCATCTGAACAACATTTGCAAGTGTTGGCCGTTTATTTGCCGGCACAGTGCCGTAAGTATTTTTAGAGTGAACCTGTTTCCCGATGGTGTAGAAGGTATGATAATTGTGTAAGAACAGTAGGAATCAAAGGATGGTGTAGAACATCACACGTGATTCGCAAAATCAAGGCCCTAATAAACAGCGGGTAAGAGTGTAAATAGAAGTGAACCACAAGTGAGACGGCAGGAAGGGTGAAAGTGTTTTTTTTGCCAAATTCGGTTCTCTTTGGTGGTGTGAAGAAAGTAATTTGAAGGCTGTGCTATTTGTATATTTTTTCCCCTCTATATTGCAAAGTGACCAGTGCGGGATTAAAAGAAAAAAGTGTTACAATAATGTAACGGGCATCTATACGCGCTCTTGTACAAATGTAGGACCACGGTACCGTCTCAAGGCAAGATACCAACAGTGGACTTTTCTTCGACGGCCAGCTATGTTAACGGTGGAATTCCGCTCGAGAGGAATCTGAAGGCGGGGACTCTGACGTCACTCCGCTCATGATAATGAGGTATTCATGATGGCGGAGTAGCGCGTGAGGGAGAAAGAGAGAGAAATAGAAAGAGATCGAACACGAGAGAGAGAGATAGACCGGTAGATAGAGAGAGCGGGAACGTGTGTGTACATTATATATACTACAATGAATCTACATATATGTATACATATGCACGTGATGTCTCTTTCTCTCTCTCTCACACACACTCTTATCAACCGTTACATAACTATGTTTCCCCTTTGACAATTCTAACATCTTTCCCTCTCTGTCTCTTTCCTTCTCTTCTTCTTTCTCTTTCCTTTCAACGCAGTGTGTATGTATGTGCGCGCGTGTATGCGTATCTGCGTGTGTGTGCGTTCAGTGGCATGCAACACATCCTTTCTATCTCCATTCCACTGTATATCGGTGTGTATTACTATTGCGTGCCTTCTCTTTACCAACTCGAATGTCTTTCTTTGTCTCTCTTACATCGACTATCTTTCTTTCTCTTTCATCAATACAGCGTGTATGTGGCACGGGGAGTGTGTGCTCGCGCGCACAGATATGTGCCTGTCGACTGGTCGGTGATAGAGAGTTTTGGATGGATTTAGAGCGCAGTGAAATATGCCAAGGAGACGGAATGGGGAGATACCGCTTCCGGAAGGGTGGGACGTCGCGCAAGACTTTGATGGAAAAGTGTATTTCATCGATCACAACACAAGAAAAACAACGTGGATCGATCCTAGAGACAGGTACGCCATTTTCTATGTATATGTTTGTATGCACGCGTACACGTGCTAAAACGGCTAATATATATATAATTGCGTGCAATCTCTGTGCGCGAGTCTTATTTCGTTTAAAGTTCCCATCCGACATTTTTGTGGATTTACACGCGGACAGGCTATTCGTGCTATTATGACAATAAATATGTGTAGTAACTGTTCGCCATAGGCACATACACACAAGTGGGAACACGAAATATTTCTGACGTTACATTGCCCTCGTGTGAGCGCCCCTTAAGTTTCTCGCGAGTGTGTATCTACTACGTGTATGCGTATATTCATACACCGAGGACTCGCCGCGCCCGCATTCCAGTCGCCAGGGCCGCCGTGCTGTCGATGAAAAACTCGAGAAATCTGGTGACCACGGTCGAACGCAAAAATAAAACTATTATTCGTTTGAACATTTTGATAGAAAATCATATTTTCGTCGAGTTTTAACCAAACGAATTTTTTATTTTAAATTTAATATAAACTTCTTTTTCGTTCTATTTCGCTATCATCGAATAAAATTTATTTACTTTCTGTACTAAAATCGACATAGAAAGCGCGTGTTCACAAATGCACCGAATTATTACGATTTGAATATATTTCGACTAGATACGAATCCGACAAATAAAATATGTAGGCATATAGAAACGAATTAAGATATATATTTTTTATACTAGGTTAATTATAATTATAAACACGATTATATGTTAGTAATTACATAATATAATACTTATAGCGAAATATTATAATTTATACGTTGGACTATTACACCTCCGTTAATTTCTCTAACGCTGACATTATTACTCGTTCAATCTATATATCGTACAGCATTCCTGACATGCGAAATCGAACAAACTATTTTTCCGATTCGTCGAAAAGAATAAGCAGATGGCGGAAGTGTTAGTTTCACGATAGGTCCAATGAATGGCGCTCGTTATCGAGCCAAAGACTAAAATCTCGTTATAAAACTGGCTTACATGGACACCGTGTTCCACGTGTCCACGTTGTCTAGATTAATGTATATACGCGTAGCCGCGGAACGTAGTGTAAGTGAACCATCTTACGGGTCTAACCGGTATATAACGTACATGCAACTGACCGGTACCTAAAAATAGACCTTGGTACAAGGGTATTATTCTTCCGATTTTGATGTCGCCATTAAGACATCGATCTCGTTACGTGCACTCCTTTCATTTGGTTTTCCTTTCTTGTTTCATAAAAGGTAACACAAATTTATTACTAATGAATAATAGGTTAGATATACATATATATCTTTTCAAAAATTTTATACAGGATATAGTGCGACAGGAATCGGATAAAGCATTATTTATTACGAATAACGATAACAGTGAGTTAAGAATTGAATTTAATAATTACAAATTGAAGAATTTGCTACTATCTCAGAGACTATAGGTTAATAAACTATAATTAATAACTATAGGTAAATAAAGGGAGTCGAGGGTTGTGTATTTTAGTGATACTTTGAATATCATTGTCGTATTATCGATACTTGTTTTCCACTAGAGTTATCGTACAGCAATTTGAGCGCAGATTACTCGACCTGCGTTCGCTGCTGTTTTTGTTTGCACATTTGGCACGCGAACAACAGAGCCCGGTGTATGGTTATTCCGTGTGCCGGCGACTTTCGCGTTCCTCGAAATCTCGAAATTTCGTTCCTCGAAGCCACTAAGCACCGCTCGCCTCTCGCCTCTGCTGCTTCTTTTTGGAAACTCGAATCGAAATCGCGCGCACTCTGTTCGCTCGGTTTTCCCACTGTGCGTCCCTCACGCAGTACAACGCGTGGCATCTGCTCGACATCTGTGTTTAGGAAAATTCTTTCGCTCTTACGCGCGGGCGCGCGCGCATGCGCACGAGTGCTCCTTCTCCTTTTTCTTTCACGCATTCTTTCGATCGGAGTCGGACTAACATTCTTGTAATATCGTTTCGTAGATTTACGATCCGTGTGCGGCTGTTTATAGATTTATCGTTGATCCTGAAAATACGTTTTTCAAATTTGATCACGATTTTCGATTTTCGTTATTTAGTAACATTTGTTTCGAGAATTATTTCCTCGTATAAAGGCTAAAAGAATGTCCGTGAAAAGGAAAGAGAGAACGCTTGTTTCTCAGTTGCATTATGCAATGTTGTGACTTAAGAAAATATCAATATGCTGTTATAGCTTTCGAAGATAGTCGTTTACGTTGTTACAGTTCGTTGAACATTTTTTTAATGATTCTAAAGGTGGCGTTCTTAATCATATATACACAATATTTATTTAAATTGTTACATATTTATAGTTTGTAAAACACCGTTTTACAAACGTCGATTTATAATAATTTTTCTGATTTCGTGTTTTTATTTTAATTTGATTTCTTTCTTATTTGTATGCTTGTTCACCTAACTTTATATAATTTCATATAAATATCTCTCTTACGTGTCTCTTTATATACCTTTTATTAGATTATATTAACAACAAATTTTTAATTCCTGTTTTCTGCAATCTTCGATTTTATATTTGTTGCATACTTGACTACAGTTGTCTATCTGTTTGAAATCAAGGTGGCTGCTATTTCTTCACTCGTAATTAATCATCGTGATAATTAAAGTGTAATTTTATCTACAAAATTATTGTCTATGTAATTAGCCAAATGGTAACGAAACAAGGAAAAAAATGAGTAGCTGCTCACTTTCAATTACGAAACCAATATCATATAGATATAATTACACAACAACGGCGAGTTGTTAATGAAAGAAACCTATATTTAGAAGATGACCGAAGAAGCAAAAAAAATTTGAGTAGATTTTCGAAAGTTAAAATTTATTTCACAATTATGTCTCAAGATTCATAACGTAAGAATAAAAAATGCTATTTTCGATAACGAATTTTTTATATGAATATTTAAACGGTATTAATTATATATTAATTAAATCGTATATATAATGACAAAAATATAATAATATTTAAACAATTTTTTTCAGGTAGTATTTTTCAAATTATCAAATAAATAAATAAAAATAAGTGCAGTTTCTCCTGAATAAATTTGTTTAAATATTTTTCATGGAAATAAATTAATATGGACATCATACATCGTTGCTGTAGTAATTTCTTACATAAACGTATAACCTTAAAAATTGCATAACAAATATTATAAAGTCGAAAATTGCAAAGAAATGAAAAATTTGTTGTTGATATAATGTAATAAAAGGTACATAGAGAGGTATGTAAGAGAGATATTTATGTAAAATTAATATGATATGCAAATTTAATAGTGAAAGGCAAATTTTGCAGGTTCTCAAATAAATTCATTCACAATGTTTTGTTATGTAAACGAGTACCGGTATTTCAAGAATTTCACACAATTTTTGTTTAATTAAAATAGCGGTATTTTTTTATTAGAGATATAACAATCTAAAGAGTTTTTATACCGCAAAATCATGATAAGAACGTTTTGAATACATTCCTTTCCTGTTAATAATTTTATTGTTTTGCGTGAAACAGTATTGGAAATGTATGCATGATAAGACAAGTTTATCAGTGAAGAAGAATAGAATTTTTCAGTTATTATTAATAGATTCGATATAACATCGAATATTATTAAATTATCTATTATCGACAGCTTATTTATCTGTTATTAATATATCAATATAACTGATGTTTATTTGTCAATAATTTTATATAGGTGCTCATATGCTTAAAGTGTACCAAAATATGTAGATAAAATAAACGAAGTATAAAAGTGTAATATATGTACATATACAAAAACATGTCAATATATAAGAACAACACGAGATATATGTGATAAATATATTAAACATATGAATCATTAATTTTGGAATTTTTATTTATTCATTTATCGATTATAATCTGATATATAATCAATTTTAGGAATTTAATTAAGCAATTAATCGATAACATTCATTAGTTAAATTTAATTTATAATTCGACATTACAGAATATTATGGAGGTACGATAAAGTAACTTTATTTAGAAAATAATATAAAATAGTAGCAGAAATGGAATAAAAAGTAAATCGAGAAATCACTATTCACGATACTAATTAATTCCAGTAGTACATTACCAGTACATTCTTACATATACATATACACTTTCAAGAAATCGGATAAGAAATAAATTTATCTTCTTTTTTTTCTTTTTTTGAAAAGAAAATATGTCTCATATGAGAATGATCCTTTAATTCTTTGCACCCCTTTGTCGAGTGTGACTCGACATAAATTTTGATCGAGTTAAACTCGTCATTTTTTGATTCCTCATTTACTGACCAAGAAAACAGAAAATAAGTAACTACTCGAATTACTTAAATTCAAAATATAAATTACAACAATGTTTGAGAGCTGTATTTCATATAACGAGTAAACAAAATTCTATAAAATAAGTAGCAGTCGAGGAACTGTCCTGTGAAATAAATTTCAAGGAAAATGCTTAAAATGGTAGGGAGTTATTGGCAAGAAAATTGAAAATTGAAAAATAATTCGGAGTGGAGAGGGTTAAAACAAATTATTTTTGGATGTAAGGAAGTTAAAATCGATTCGGCAGATGTATAATGACTTGATATGACAATCTATCAACATGGAACCAATTCTGTAGACAGCAATATCAGAAAAGTCGAGGAGTCGACGCTATATATGTCTACTTTTGGTCTGCTTTAGGTGGATCGACCCAAAATTAAAACGAAATTTTAATAATACCATTTAGCGTTTAGCTCGAAAGAATTTAAGAATATTTAGTGTTATTACAAACGCGAAAATTTCTGTTTATATTTCTGCTAATACTATCATCAAAGGTCTCTCCGGTGTCTTATGAAACATGAGCACTATGAATTCAATTAGGAGACCAATAGTTGCTGCACTATGCGTCACATTCGACGAAAAAATGACTAAAACACCTAATAAACGATCGTTTTAAAAATCTAAAACAATCAAATCACTCATAAATCAAGTCTATTAGCTATGCAATGGACTAA